GATTGAAATGGAGGGGTTGGGTATTAAAGAGGAGAAAGAGAGGGAGATTCTAAACAAAACCTAACATTAGTGACCACTTCAAAGACAATGGGATGGCCTTCCCTTTTCCCTTTTCGAATTATGTATACAAAAAGCGAATGTACAGTACAAACCCACTGATGCTAATTGGGATCAATACAGCATTCACATTATACATGCAGATACATGTACATGTAGAGTTCTTTCTTTCTCCTTTTTATATATCATCCTTCTTGTTCTCTCTCTCTCTCTCTCTCTCTCTCTCTCTCTCTCTCTCTCTCTCTCTCTCTCTCTCTCTCTCTCTCTCTCTCTCCTTCTCCCTCCTATTTCCACAGGGTGGTGTTTTCATAAGCTGTCTCGAATGGACAGTATTCGTATGCACACACAGCATTGGGTCTGGATGGAAAAATACAGCTGGAATAGAACTGCCAAGTATAGTCAAGAGAATAATGAGAAATGGCAAGTGTTGATATAAAAAATAAGGAAAAATGGCTGTTTTTCTTCACTTTATTTACACCCTGATTTCACTCCCAATTACAATTCTTGGAAGTAATCAGCAGCACATGATAGGGTTATGGCATGATTTCATCGATCCCATTAAGGCATGCACATGTATAATATACTATGATGGTATTTTGACCATTTCATATAAGGACATAGTGTAATACAATACCAGTATCTGTTTCGGTAAATATTATTATTTATATTTGCATTGTTTTATCTTATAAAACACTTCAAAAGTACAGCTGGACACAGACCAGTGAGACCGCCATACCATCCTAATTCAATTTCTGACATGTGACATGCTGGAGCTAATTTGATTAAAAGCGTGGGCCGTTTGTGATTTTTCATTATATTAAATTATCAATGAAGCATATGCCTATACTCAGTAGAGTGTAGCCTCTATATAATGGACACTTTTTGGTACAAGAAAGTTGGTCTGTTATACAGAAGTGTGAAGTTATTTTATACAGTAAGGAATGTAATTGGTACACTAGGTGCTGTCTGTTAAATGGAGATGTTCGCTATAGAGAGTGTCCGTTAAAAGAAGTTACATCATTCATAGTGATGATGATAACAAGATCGTATTACTTAGTGGAAATCGTAAATATCTTGGCTTGGCAAATGTACACACGCAAAGCTGAGAAAGGAAAATATTTTGGCAGAGTTATAGTGAACAAACAAAACAATATTTATTGTTTTGCTTTGTATAATTTAGCGTATAAACTCTTATAATTAAAAATAATAAGGACACTTCACATTTTGTAAGAATACTTTTGAAATGAGGACAGCTCTGGATTAAGGAAAGGCAGCCTGGGCCCAATGGTGACCAGAATGAGAAAGTACTAGCCTTTACAGCATTATTACTACTAGGACGGAGAGGATTACTCCACTAGGATGGAGAGGATTTTCAAAATGCACATAGAATTACATGCAATTGATAGTTAAAATCCTTGTACCTTTTTCTGTATAATGCAACACTTTTTCTTTTTATTCTTGTCTTGCTGCATGTTGACAAGACTTAATTCACACCTCAATGTATTGTTAACACCTTGCTTACACCTTAACATTGAACAACACTGAAACTATAAAACATATACATACACACATAAATTAATAAATACACACATTTACATAAAGAGATATATACATGCGTGCATGCATACGTACATATTCTTGCTTGCACAAAACAGCTTGTTTTCTTTCAGTGGATGCCAATGAACACACACACGCACATTTCAAGTCGTGTAGAGTAGGCTTGACATTATTTTATAAATAGATAATTATGAATGGAATGAGCTTGTGTGTGTGTGCCTAGATTTTCCAAGAAATGTACTACACAAAATTTCTTTGTTAAAAGATAGAGTTTGCCCACAAATTGGCTCCACTTCATTAAACACAAATGCACTGGGGCTTCCTTTCACATACAAATAAATGTATAATACTAAATTATACTAGCGGTTGTTACTCCTTCCTCTTTTGGTTCCTCTCCATCTCTCCCTCTTTCTCCGTCTCCCCCTCTTTCTCCGTCTCCCCCTCTCCTTCCATCTCTTCTCCCCCTCTCCCTCCTTCTCTCCCTCCGTCCCCCCTCTTCCTCCTTCTCTTCTCCCTCCTCCCCCTCTCCCTCCCCCTCTTCATTATTAGGATTCTACAATCCATTAGGGGGCTATGTTATATTAGGGATACACGTCCTCCCCCTATCTCTCTACGTCTATCAATACTCCAGTGCTATACCGTACCTCAACCAGTATGGTAACATCATCCCATTGGTAGCAGTAGTCTTCCTTATACCGGGTAGAGTACTGGGAATGATTGCAGAAGTAAGATATGTACGTGTACATGCGAAATTGCGAATACATGTATTGGTACATGTGTACATGCACACTTGTGTGTCCATTCATTGCTAAATTGTGATTCATTTTATATTTATGATAATATTGCATAATTTGCAGAGTAAACTGTACAATTGACATTCATTAGTAATCATTGCACATTATATATATTTTTTAGCATTACTACTAGTATTACTATTATTATTATTATTATATCCATGGTTTATATATGAGGCTGTATTGGTATATAGTAATAGTATTATTATCATTATTATATGACTCTGTGTTGTACTAATTTAGTGAGATAGTGGTAACCTCCATATTATATTAGTAGTCTAGTTTAGTTGTGACAGGAAAGGCATTAAATTTCTTTAACAACTTCTGAGAATTGGGCCAGGTTCACATGCATGTGCACAAACACACACACACACACACACAGAGACAAAAATGATTGGAGGGTTTATATTCCATTATATACACACATACAATTTGTTAGTACAGCAATGTCTAATGAGGCCATCCTGTAAAAGTACAGGATGCTCTAATTCAGGATGTAAATTGACTCTCTGTATTATTCCATCAATACAAGCTGATGTTGCTATGAGAGTTGTAGAAGTAATGTTGAAGAATGGGAAGAATGGCAGGGTTCATTTGTGGAGGATGAGAGGCCACGAGAGCAATTGTTTATCTCAAGGAAAGAAGAAAGAATAAATTTTCTAATAATTATAAAATAATTATATTAATTAGAATGCATTTTGTACTACTATATCAAATCATTAGCTCGCTATTAATTTATACACGCTTATTTTATATGCATAACATGTGTATAAGTGTATAATAATATTTTCACATGTTATCATCAATTTTACTGCCATAGAAAATTCTATAACAAATTTAAACTAATTCTACTTTCCATTCTCTTTTTTAAAAAGCATAATTTGCTGCATGGGCCATGAAATTCCCCCAAATCTGAACTGACATTCCAGAAGCATTGTGTTACTTATGTGAAGTCATCGCAAAGTGATCAATATAATGACACAGCTAAATATAATTGTAACTATACAGTGCTGCATTCACAATCTACTATATGTCAGGTACTATGAGAGTAAAATAACTTACTCTTCCTTGTGCTGTAGCACTAGTACTGCATCATATCCATTCAATGGTACTACTACTTTATAGTGTATACTTCCAACTGATTGTACTATTCTTTTAAGCATTTTGTATGGATTCATTTCATTTTTAAATTGTATTAAAAAACCTCTCCCTCTCTCTCTCTCTCTCCCCCCCCCCCTCTCTCTCTCCCAAAGCTAAGCTATATTGGATTACATATAGTGAACATGGTCAACAGTGATGATAAGAAAGGCTCAGGAGATGAGGGGAAAATGTCTACAGGAGGAGACATCCCTCCTTAATAAACCCTTATCTAACTACACACACACACATACATACATACATACATATATATATATTATAATGTTATTATTATTTTCTCAGGTCATTCCTAGAAGCATAAATCTACTTAAATCTCATGAACAGCTGCAAATTGACATAGTAAAATGAGTCACTGTGTGCATATCCAAGTATCTATACATGTACATTCCAGCTGGACAATATGCCACCCATTATTTTAAGTCAGGAGTCTAATCTGGCTCTCCTCTCTTTCTCACCCACTCAAAACAGTCACTATCTATTCTGAGAATAAGATGAACTTGACCACGGAATTCTTTTAAAAAAACAATAGTAATAATAATAGTGATAATAATAATAATTATTATTATTACTATTATTTTTGCTTGAATGTATTGTGCATGGAGTCACTAAGTCCAGTGAAAATGTAGAAAAAAATTTGCAGCATTTGCATGTAAAAAAATTTGTTTATACTTTGTATTTATTCAAAAACACACATGCAATTATTATCATGGACTACAGGTGCAGTTATAGTTATATTATAATGTACTGTAGGTTATCTTCAGTAGTGAATGCTTTTGAAGATTTCAATCTATAGAAAGAGAAAGAGAGGGAGGAACAAGCCTTTATTTCAAATAATAATCTTATTTAATTTTAGCCCTCTCTATCTTTCCTCCCTCCCTCTCTCTCTCCAATTGTATTACAAATCAATATGTACATGTCTGGATAGCAATAGCTATTAATATGATGCTAACTTTGTCAATAAAGTCTTGAGTGAGTTCTTGTGCCTCTTGGAACCAGCGGAGAACCGAGGAAAGCCAGGGGACAACTGATTGGACCTGAATCATGTTAGTAACCTCGTAAAAACCAGCACTATGTTCACTGAGAGAGAGGGAGGGGGAGAGAGAGGGAGAGAGAGAGAGAGGGAGAGAGAGAGAGAGGGAAGAAGAGTATAAATGATAGAGAAAGAAGAAGTAAAAATTCATGTGTAAAAAATGACAATAGAACTCTATAACTTTTAAGGATTATCTATAGTCCCTTACAATGTATATCCATCACAAAGAGTATGGTCAACCTGAAACAAAGAGAATGGAAGACAGTTAAGTGAACTATATTAACTGAACAATATTACTCTATACACAAGAACAATGTGACTGTCCTCCAACTGCTGACAATGGTACTCTGTTATGGCAACAGAACTTGGCAAAGGTTACCATTGTGGTAATGTACATGCATTGAACCAAATGAACCATACTGTATACATTCTTTAATGTATACACATATATATAGTATGTACACTGTGTAAATGTATTTAAATTAAATAAACAATAAAACATAGACATAGTACATGTCTATGTACACACATGTCTTATTATGAATCTACCATATAAGTTAAAAGAGACTATTTCTACGAAAAGCCTTCATCGTATGATGCTCCTACATGTACATATAAGGTAAAAGGATACAAGCACATGCTCGTAAAAAAAGTACCCGGTTGTGATCCGGCCTAATTACACGTAACCTTGGACAATAAAATGTCTCCAGAAACCACGTACACATTTTGTAATTAAACCACATCATACAGGAATGCATAAGTCCCTAAGCTCTCTGTCTCTCCCGCATGTAACGTAGTACATGTACATGTACATGCACCGTGTACATGTACATGTACATGTACATGTAGTGATGTAGTGAGTAAGGATATATATTAGATTATTAATCATAATTGGGTAAGTGTGGGCTGAACATTTCCAAGAAATTCTTAGAGAAGAATTCCAGTCTTCTGAGTGATCTCAGATATTTCATTTCAGCCACAAACTAAGCATTTAAATTGAAGTTTGTACACATTAAAGGATCGTTGGTCAATCGCAACACATGGGCGGGTATAGCTTTACAAATGAATGAATTAGAGATAGAAGTACATGAACATGTAACTGTACTAATATCATTGTATATAAACTTGTACTGCTGCTACAAAGTACCTTATTTGTGCAGTGAAACCAAAAATCAAAAACCACGTAATTGAAGCAATAATGATAGTTCCAATAGCGTTGCGGTCTAGTAGATGTGAATTAGCTTACGTTAGTTGAGGGTTTTCCAACAGGAGACACGTTGAATATTGTGAGTACCAGGTTGTCGGCATGAATGTGGAATCGTACTACTGTGTCTTCTGGTAATTCAGGCTTGAAATGACTCTGGGAAAAGAATTACAAGAGAAGAAGAACAGTATTGCATCATAAGTGGGTTGATTAAACACAGGTCTCTCTCTCTCTCTCTCTCTCTCTCTCTCTCTCTCTCTCTCTCCCTCCCTCTCTCTCTCCCTCCTCTCTCCCTACTCTAAGTTCAGCAGAATGTATCTCAGACACGGACGGTAGCTGAGGTACCACGAGGACCCGCTCAGCCTCTTGTAGATTACTTGCAAGCTCAACCAGTGCCTAATCAAAACAAGGAACAATCATAAATTTACAGTTGTAATATAAAGCCCATGAGATTTTGGCATTGGATTTTTAATGCTGCTCCAAAAAGTATATACATGTACTATAGTACATGGTCTCTGGCCAAATTTCGTCAAAAATGAAAAGGAGAGAATTCTTCACTTTTATAATTTTCCTAATGCATATATATGGTCTTATGTTGCATAGAAAGTTTGAGCTGATTCCAAACAAAACTGGACTTTTTACAAATTTTTAAAGTTGCTCAAAAATAATTGCTAAATGTTATACAGTACACACAAAAAGGTAACAATATTTGCATGCCCCTACTTGGCATAAGGCTAAAGGAGTTGATAGACTCTCTCTGTTTTGTATGATGAAGGACAGCTTCTGCTGAGCAAGAAGAAACTGATTAGCTGAATTTTGTATCTAAAAGAAAAGAGAGAGAGAGAGAGAGAGAGAGAGAGAGAGAGAGAGAGAGAGGAAAGATAAAAAGATAAAAGGAGAGAGTGAGAGGAGGGGAAGCAGGAAATAATAGAATAAGAAAGATAAAGGAATGAAAGAATGCAAGCAAATAAAGGCAAATAAAGGATGTGAAATAAGGAAAGGGAAACATCAAAAATGCAACAACAGTAACTCTACTAATAGTCAAATGCACTCAACCTAATGTGCACGTACAAGTACACGTAAGAGTGACAGGAAAGAAGAATTTTGTGCATGCATGCTCAAGCAATGGCACATATCGCTAAAGCATGAAACGAAACAGCTGCTAAATATCATACAAAATAAAGCAATGGGATATAACTATTGTAACGACTGAGATCAAGTTTGTACAAGCATGTCGTCTCTATATTTTAAAAGAAAATTGATATTAAAAAATAGATGTTTATTATAAAAGAAAAGAAGTACTTGTCTGAGTTTCCATGCAGCGTGCTCCTTTATTGAGGTTCTTAGCGGCTTATGAGTTCCCAGCCGGCCTGCCTGTCTCAGTGTCACATCCTATCATGCGACGAGAATATTTCCAAATATGGTAAGTTGGTAACTAACGGCTTTTGATATCTTGTCACCGTCGACTGAAGCAACACATAGAACAGGTTCACCTCTAAAATATATAAATAATAATAATAATTCATTTATAATAATAACTTTACATTATATAATCATTAATTTATCTATCTATTTTATTAAAATATAGTTATTCATTTTATATTTTGCAAATCTTTTGGTCGCCTATGCACATGTATACAACACTAGCCTATAATTTAGGTTCCTTTATTATTTTTAGATAGAATGGCCTCTAAAAATTTGTTTCTAAATCTAACAATATCTTTCCCACGAAACCCCACCCTCTCTCTCTCTCACTGCTGAGGATGTCTCAGGAGTATCTTGTGACTGTCCTTCTCTAGAAAAAATAGCACAAGTGACGATAATAATAATAAAAATAAAATAATCATAAATTATTATTATAATCTATAAACTAACTTGAATGAGGATCTAGTACAACCGAAAGTTTTCTAGCACACTCCTAAAAAATAATTACATAATTAACAATATGTACATGATTTTATAAATTATTTTCCAATTAAAATTAAAAATAGACAAAAAACTAATTACTATTCATTGCAGTACAGCTAAAAATATCACTCAGAAAGATTTTTAAAGGTATTTTTGTATGCAAAAATTGCAGTTTTAATATTGATGATTCTTAACAAAGTGCTAATCTCTGTCTGCTAATATTAAGTGCTTGCCCACTATTCACTATTATACTATAATACACATCCTCTTAGGCTCTTACATACAGTAAGGCATTTCTTAATGGCATCTAGTGTGGTCTCAAATTCAACTTCAAGGAGCCATTTAAATTCTTTTTTCTAATAAATAAAATAGGACAAAGGAAAGGAAAGAGTTGCAACGAAACAGTAATTGTCCATACCAACGTCTCCTCCTCGAGGAGAAGATTGTCCTCGTCGTATCTCGAAGGAGGAGCCAATCTTGACCCTCCACTGAAGGAGCCACTGTCGGCCATTTTTATTTGTAGGCGTGGCTCAAATTGTGAGCCAATTTACGGAGATTGTACCCGGTAGTGTACTGGGTTTCTTATTTCGAGCTTTTCGTTATACTTTCCGTATCATTCCAGTATTCTTTAAAAACATGGCTGTTAATCTTCCTTGGTGAGTATAATTATAATGTTTAAATAAATTATAACTATATTTTTATGCCTCTTAGGGTAGAGAAATATCGTCCTAAAAATTTAGATGACCTCATCTCGCACAAGGAAATAATTAACACCAGTATTTATACATTCTAAATTATTTTTAAAATTTTAAACTATCTCATTTTTAGTTCAGCACTTTCTCAAGGAGGACAGGCTGCCACATTTGCTATTCTACGGTCCTCCAGGCACAGGAAAGACGAGCACAATCCTTGCCTGTGCAAAAACAATTTTCTCTCCAGCCGAAATAAAATCAATGGTCCTCGAGGTAACCATGGTAACCGACCACGCCCATTATTTTTTCTCATAGTTGAATGCATCTGATGATAGAGGTATTGATGTGGTCAGAGGTCCCATACAAAGTTTTGCAAGCACTCGGTCGATTTTTCGTTCTGGGTTCAAGTTGATAATACTTGATGAGGCGGACGCCATGACAAAAGATGCTCAGAATGCCCTTAGACGAGGTTATATTGAAATTATTAAAATTATAACTATTCTTATTAAAATGCTTATTTTTTGCTAGCGTTTCCTCACACAGTGAAGGCAAATTGTTTGTGGTTGTACCCCATATGTTGAATATTTTACATAGCATTTTAAAATTTGGAGGTGTTTTGGAAAAAACCATGGGCTATAGTACAGGGTATTTTTCCGAAATTTGGAGTTTTTAAAAATTGGTCATAACTCGAAAAATTGAAGTCGGAATCTGCTCAAACTTTCTACGTAGCTTAAGTACATCAATATGTATCAGAAAATGTAATAAAAATTGTGGGTGATTTCGGAGCCATTTTTCAGAAAAAACCATGGGCTATAGTACAGGGTATTTTTCCGAAATTTGGAGTTTTTAAAAATTGGTCATAACTCAAAAAATTGAAGTCAGAATCAGCTCAAACTTTCTACGTAGCTTAAGTACATCAATATGTATCAGAAAATGTAATAAAAATTGGGAGTGATTTGGAGCCATTTTTCAAAAAAAACCATAGGTATATATAGCCTTTGCTTTTTCTGAAAATTGAGGCTATTTTTATAACTTGAAAAATTGAAGTCCAAATCAATTTTTAGAATCTGTGTGCTTCCTATTACATTAAAAATGACCTGAATTAGCAGATATTTCTTTCTCGCTTTATTTCTCTATTTTCTCTCTCTTTCACAGTCATAGAGACGTACACTGATAATGTTCGATTCTGTTTAATCTGTAATTATTTGTCTAAGATTATTCCTGCCCTGCAGTCAAGATGCACCCGATTTAGATTCGGTCCACTCTCGATGGAGCAAATGTCTGTAAGACTCCAACACATTATCAGAGAAGAAAAGTATATAATAATAATAATAATAATAATAATAATAATAATAATAATAATAATAATAATAATGATAATGATAATGATAATGATAATGATAATGATAATAATAATAATAATAATAATAAACTCATTGGGGTGTCTTTATTAATAATTATTAATAATTAGTTAATTAATTATTAATTTTAATAATAATAAAGTTTTTGTTTTTTGTTTTGTACATATTAATACTGTTTGTTTTGTCCCTTCAAAATTAAATATACAAATAACAGCTTTTGTTATTATAGCAGAATTACAGCATGTAGTAGCAAGAATGATAACAATATCCATATGCAGTAGAGCAATGTATAGGAGACACTCTTCATCAATTGTATGATGCAAGAGATTGCAGTACCTTTGTAACAATAGTAAACTTGGAAATCTTTTTAAACAATAACAGCGACTAGCTACTTAGTAACAGCGTTGCTATTCTTAATAATAAATCACCCATTTAACAAAATGAAACTCTCTTGTTTTGCAAGGATTAAGCTATCTCTTTGTATGTTTGTGTCATGTTTTCTGTCATGTTCCAACTTCCCTCTTATCTCGCTTCCTTTTCTTTCTTTCTCTCAGTATCAATATTACAGATTCCGGGATGGACAGTGTAGTCAAACTGGCACAAGGTGACATGCGACGATCTCTTAACATTTTACAAGTAATGCGTGAACTGGGAATATAATGGAAGCAAGCATATCTTCACAATACACACACACACACACACACACACACACACACACATGATATTTGCATCACTTAAGTATACACATTCAGTGGATACACATACTGTAAAATACATTTATATTACAGTGCTATATCACTGTGTATGTAATGTGAATGTATTTTCACTAGAGCACCTCAATGGCTTATGATACAGTAGATCAAAGAACAGTGTATCTGTGTACTGGCCAGCCTCTTCCTGAGGATATCAAGCAAATTGTTGAGTGGATGCTTGGCGAGGATTTTATGACAGCATATCAAAGTAAGGCAGGAGGAGGGAGAGAGGGGGGAGAGAAAGAGAGAGGGGGGGAGAGAGGGGGGAGAGAAAGAGAGGGGGGGAGGGAGAGAAAGAGAGAGAGGGGAGAGAGAGAAAGAGAGAGAGGGGGGGGAGAGAAAGAGAGAGAGAGGGGGGAGAGAGAGAAAGAGAGAGGGGGGAGAGAAAGAGAGAGGGGGGGGAGTATTCTTATAGATTATAATAATATGCTATATAGTTAAGGGAGAGATCACATCCCAAATAAAGCTATTACTGCTTTGTGTATGATTCTTAAGACAACATTGTTATATGTTTGGTTTGCCTTTGATATGAAGGATGACTTGCAAGACTAACAGAACAAATCTCCTTTACATTATTGTGTACACACACATTATGACAGATTAAATTCATGGCCAATTCCCACTTGTGTCTACATTCATGTACATATATACACACTATATAAGGATTGGATGTCAACTTGATTGAATGTTATAGTCGCCCACGCAATACATTAAAACTTTTATTCATTTCTTGCAGAGATTATTGAACTAAAGATTGAAAAAGGACTGGCTCTACATGACATAATCACAGAAATTCATCACTTAGTACATAGAAGTGAGAAACATTATTATTATTTTTTTTTGATGAAAAAAAATCTACTGTTTCTTTATTGATAGTTGATTTTCCTGCCAAAGTGAGACTAGCCCTCTTGGATAAGATGTCAAATATAGAGTAAGGACATGATACTTTTCTGTACACAATTTGTACATCTAGAAATCTGCATTGTGTTTTTAGCATTTCTTGTGATACTGGCATTATAATTTATTTCTATAAAACTGGTTCTTCCTATTCAATTTTGTTCGAATACTATAAGTTTTAACAAGAGTACATAATTGGTTTTGACATTGTGTGTTCTAAAATGGTGTTAATATGCTTCACGGAATGTAGTTGTGTTCTAGTTGTTTCAACAATACTTTTCTCATTCACTTTTCATAGCAATAAGCTAATAGCTGCTGTGATGGAAGCAGTGTGTTCATAATACATGTAGGTTGGCAAGTTTACACAGCCAAGTATATTCAGGTCTGATTCAAAATGTTGCCCAAAGTTAAAGAATCAAGTCTGATATCAATACTGGTACAGCACTGATGACTATCATTGCTGAATCATGAAAGTTGATCTGGCCTGATCTAGTGTAGATGCTTATCATGCCTGTACCATGGCTGAACCCATGATTGTATCAGGACTGATTGCCCAAAATCCATGATCCATGCCTGATATAAGGGCTGGTTTCAGTCTGAATCAGGCCTGATCAACATGATTAGATTTGGCTGTGTACATGTATATTAGTTGCCCATTGCCATGTGAGATTGGCAGCACAATTCAATGCCCAAGGAGTACATTAGCTGCATACCATTTTTCTAAATTAAATCCTCTGCCAATATTATAGTATGTAGATGTACATATTGTACTCTTAAATTGCTGTCAATTTATTTGTTGTTTATTGTTCTCTGTGTATTTATTTTAGATATAATGTGTCTACCGGTACGTCGGAGAGGATCCAACTGGGCGCTCTAATTGGAGCTTTTCAAAATGTACGAGACATCGTGAGTGACGCTAGTAGGGAAAGAGGAAAAACTGAGTAGTGATAAAGCTAAACAGTGAAAGTTTTTTTTGAAATGAAACATTAAACACAACGGAGAGAGAGAGAGAGAGATAGGACGAGGATTAATACATTAGGCTTAAAGTTAACTTCTGTCCCTCCTCTCTCTCTCTCTCTCTTTAGACACCCTAACAATAATAATAATAATAATAACAATAATAATAATAATAATTGTAATATTTAAAAGGCCAGAATGGTAATGAAAATACATACATACATACTCAATTTTGTTTATCAATGCACTAAATGTTATGATGTTTCTTTAAGAAGCAGCACACGCTCCTTTGCTTGAGACGGGAGCAATCAGTAACTTGGTTTCGATCGTCTTGGTATCTCGGGCGGTTTTTCTGGTATTTCTGGAGGCATTTCAGGATGTCTTTTCAATTGGAGGACCTCCGGCGCATTCCCGTACAAGGACTCTGTCGTTTGCACTGTCCCTGTGCTGGATTGACTAAAAGCTTGCTTTAGCTGTGTGGAGGCTTCCACGTAATGAAGTATGGCCCTGTACACAAACTTGTACTGTTGTTCCGTTTGGACCATCCCTGACCTCTGGCCGCGGGCAATCTGAACGCTTTTCTGAATATCAATATCTACGTCCCACCCCTGGCTTTCTATTAGCTTGATTATTACATCAATTATTATGTACGTACCTGTTCGGCCAATGCCGGCGCTACAATGGACGACGGTCGGGCCAGGATTAAGACTCCTAAGCTGCTGGACTTTCATGTTTACGTCTTGCATGAACGCGAGAACGACTCCCGGATCCTGGGGAACCCCATGGTCCGGCCACGCCTTGAAATGAAATTGGAAGATGTGACGAGACTCGTAGGCCCCCTCGTCGCCGCCGTCTTCCTCTGGAGCGTCCGGAGCTCTTTTCTCAACTAGGAAGTGACGCAGGATGTAATGAGAGTTGGCCGTGTCTTCCTCAAGACTTGTAACGTGAATGAGGCCATAGGTTTCCTCAGGGGACTCGGGGCTGGGCCAGTATCGTGAACATTTGTTACGTCCTCTTTCAACCTCGTTGGTAATCATCACTATCACTAGACTCCCCTCTTGCCAGACCATCCTCCAGAAGTCGTTAACGGTCGCTGGAAGACATCCCTGCGTCGCGATGTACTCGCAATCCGAATCAGGCGTCTCCCCGCTGATATAATTAGCGTTAATATAATCAGAGCCAGGGACATCAGGATCATAGCCGTCTTTGAGAATGACTCGAGTGTGATCAAACGGAAGGATGTTCTTGAATCTGTTCTTTGGCCGGTTTTCAGGTTTGACGCCTTCTTTTCGGCTGTAGAGGTGTCTAGTCTCCTGCTGCTGCATCTGCTCAAACTCCTCCCAGAATCCGGCCTTCCCGTACATGTCTTGGTTTTGTTTTTCAAGCTCTGATACCCTCTGTTTGATGTTTAGCGGGAGAAACGAGGTACTATGAAATGGACTGCGAAGATTTATGACTCGTCCGCCTGTCTCGACAAGAGGAGTCTTCCGATAATGCTCGATGAGATCGGAGAGCGAGCGGAATTGGGGACCTCCCCCCATGTCAAACATGTTGTCACGGCAGCGTATTATGACATGCGAGATCTCATCTCCGACTCGAGTTGAGAGTACGTAGTTCCCAGGAGTGTGTGCAGAAGTACGTACAAGATAGCTACCGTCCTGCCCTTTAGACATTATAAGCACTTCAGCTTCTCTCCCGTTTATTCCACCGTGAAACCATCTCTCACTCGTCACCTCGTCGCTGTACAGGGGCTGGCCTAGCTCTATGACTGTCCCGTTTCTCTCTTTTAGCTGACCCGGGTTCTCTGTGTAATATTGTATCAGCTCGGCAAGTGTGGCGAACTTTTCTCCTCCATATAGATCGTAATAGTCGCCTTGGTTCTGTATGCGAATATGTGTCACGTCGTGTTCTCTCCTCACGGAGAGGGTGAAGTCGCCAGGATTGTTCTGGCTTGGTCGGGTAAGGAAGCTCCCCGGGGTGCCCCTTTCCATGAGCATCTCTTCAGCTTTGGCACCGTTAATGTTAGGATGGAACCATCTCTTGGTCGCCATGATTGCTTAAAGCCGGTGAACAAGAGGCCACTACAGAGATAAGAGAATCACTGAGAGGGCTGTGTCTTGGGATATAGGAACTATGCGCATGCTCTGCTTAAAAATTATTATGGAATGATGGAAAGGAGGAGGGTCGTGGTATGCCTCCTTGCTTATTATCCGCATCCCACGCGTCAAAAAGGCCGACCACAGCGAATCCTTTAATCAACAACAAGAGCTTTCCAAAGCAGACCTGCTATTAGTAGAAATTATGGCCACGCAGCAGAGATCCATAGACACTTACATCAAGGTAAAGCGATAATTGTCACTGCTACAATGTAAGTACTGCAATTATCTGTTGTAGTCTGCCTATACCCAGTCAGGAAGATGGGCAAAGCAGACACAGTTCAAGGCTGAGGTCATACAGTATTGTCGTGGAATCCAGTCCTCTAATGTAGCCAGGTTCATATATACATGCCTTCTTCTTTGTTGTCAACTTTATTTTATTTTAGCTCAATGATGATGTCTTCGAAATCAACAAAAGTAATTATCATTGGTGCTCCTGGCATAGGAAAAACTTCACTTTTATTAAGGTAAATCCTGAGCTACCCTCTCTCTCCCTCTCCCTCATTGCTTGTGTATAGATATTGTCAGGACTCTTTTGAATCTAATTACAAGTCCACAATTGGTGTTGATTTCGAAGTGGAGAAATGCTCAGTATTAGGACAGTCACTGACATTACAACTGTTAGTTGACACAGCATATATTCTGTGGAGTAATTATAAATAATGTCTTTCATGTGTTTCCTGCTTTTCATTTTAGGTGGGACACTGCTGGAGCTGAGAGATTTAAAGGAGTGACAACAAGTTATTTTAGGGGAGCAAATGGTATGATGTGACAGTGTATTTATACATAATAGTAGCTATGTGCCTAGTTTAATGTGTTTTGTCGGCAAGTATGCTTGACAGAATTTGTTTTTGTACTGTATAGTTGTTGTTCTGGTTTTTGATCTCACTCAACATGATGAAACACTAGAAAAGACAAAGTTAGTTGAGAAAGAGAGAGAGAGAGAGGGGGGGAGAGAGAGGAGGGGAGAGAGAGTAAAGTTATAATCATATTATCCAATGAGATGCAGTGAGAGTGCGAAAACAACTGATACTATAAGATAATCTTAACTTTGATATTCTTCTTTGCTTAGGGAGTGGCTTCTTGAAGCAAGAGAAAGCTGTGCTAACGAGTTTGAGCTCTTTCTAGTAGGAACAAAAAGGGATGCAGTGGTACGCGTTAAATGCTGCTACATTGTAGAAATAAATGTAAATTTTTAAATATTTTTTTACAGTCAGAGCACAGATTCGAATCAATGATGCCAACAGTCCTTCATTACGCATCAATGCATGATGCTGAATTATGGATAACATCAGCTAAGACAGGTACAACTAGTAATCTACAATCAAGAGTACATATTTATGTACTTTTTGATAGTACTCACAGTCACATATCTACACTATAGAATTTTGTTCACATACAATTTTGTGAACATCAGCTTCACCTCGCCTTTTCAATACTTTGTGTAGGATTTAATTTCTTTCATTACTGGTATTCCTCGCGAAACATAACCCGCTATTAGCATTCAAATTACGACTCTGAGACTGCAACATAACCCTCTGCTTTGCCCTGCTTGTTTGGGTCATATCGTTATCAAAAGTGGATATAGTGATGTAATCTCTTGTGTGGTCATGCATGCTGCCGTTCTCATATTATATGACCCAGCAGTCATTAAATTAGATTTGGTCAATTGATATTTTTAGTGTCTCCATTTTTTATGCTGCTGTGGTGTCTCGTTATTATTATTATAGTTATTATTATCATGATGGCATGTGAGGCAATTTTTAAAAATTTGTAAAAAATTCAAATTAGATTGGAATCAGCTCAAACTTTCTTCAAAACATAAGAACATGTATATGCGTCAAAAAACTTTATAAAAGTGAAGAATTCTCTCCTTTTTGTTTTTGACACAATGTCTGAACATTGTTTGAATGTAATGTCATTTCCTTCCTTTGTGTCTTGTGTAGGAGACAATGTAGCAGAGCTGTTTCAAAGGATTGCCATCATATCAATGGAGAACTTAGTCATGAAGGAGCTCTCAAGACTAAGAAAGGATGAAATCGCTCGTCAAGTCCAGCTGGAAAAATCGACGCTAATAAGTGAGTTAATCCACTCAAGGAGAGAGTTTTAGTTTTTTTTTCTCTCTAGGAATAAAAGTTGAAGACAAATCCTCATCAATTGACAGGAGAAGAGAATGCTGTTTGAGATAGTTTCTAGTGTTAGTTTTTATAATTATTATTTTTTTAAAGAAAAGAGACAATATCACACTAGCTTTTTATTATATTTTAACACACACACGCACACACTGTCTATGACCCTCTCACTCTATATGATACTACACTATTATATACTAATAAAACAAAAATGTAAAAATGACAATAATGAAACTGTGAAAAAGAGAGAGATTCTTTGCAATCAATCATGATTTTGTCATTCATATTTTTCTGGTTCAATAAGGTGATGAGGAAAACAGTCTGTTTTAGGCAGAGTGTTGCTGAGTTTTAAGTCTTGTCTATTTCTTGCAACACCTCTTGGTTATTTTACGACTGACGTAAACTGACATATATACCAGTGGTAGTAATATCAGTGTTATGCTTAATGAGATAAAACCTTTGCCTAGTTGATGAGATTCTGATTGAACTAGCATTGTTACTTTGATTAGTATCATCACACTGAACATGAATACATCAAGGGTATTGTTCCACTCCTTCTTATAAGGTTGGACAGTGACTATTAGACACATGACCATTATCATTGTCATCACTTGTAGCATACCCTCAACTACACTGTCCATTGCTGACATCATTACTCCAAGCACAACAATCCTCAAGATGAAATATACACAAGAGAAGCTCCTGGCATCTCTTGTATCTTCTGTTCCGATTCTGTAGCAGCCTTGGAATGAATCCATGAAAGCTCTCAGTGCACGATGGTTTAAATGTGTACGATGAAGACATCTCTGTACTACCTGTAGAGGATACAGTAGCAATATCAATGGTAATGGTATCACAATGAGAGAGAGGACGATTATTGATATCATCATTAACCAGATGTGCTTAGAGCTACCATACTCCACTGAAGCATCCATGTAAAGTAGTTTCATACCCTTCACTTCACCGTTTGCACTGTACACTGTATTAGGTAACAATACTAGGAATGA